GGCGGCGGTAGTGAGGTTGGCCCAGGATCGGACATTGTTTCGTTCTGCTGTGCATGGGGTCACTATGAGTCGGTTCCAACTCGATGGCATCTGACAACAACAACAATGTTAATGAGACAGAATACAATCTACAGCATTAGGTTATATCTTGAATTGATCTCTTCTATGATATAAAAGAGATTAAATATGTGAGCAGAGAGGGAGGGGCCAGACAACCACCAAGAGAGAAGAGCTGAGAGTGGAATTCCTCCTTCGACCTGACAGATGCCAAAACACATTGGAAACAAAAGACATTTACAAGGTGAGCAGAAGAGAAATGGGGGAAGACAGATGTCAGGACACATGGAGATTTCCAGGGAACTAAGAAGCAGAAGCTGAAGAGAAAGCACCTTCTTCTAAAAGAGAAAACCCTCTCCTACAGCAAGCACTTCAAATTTGCATTCTTACGTCTCCTCAAGGGTGAATGAGCACATTTGTTTGTTAGCACCAGATAACTGCGACAGTGCTTTTGAACTTGCATTTGTTATGTAAGCACGTCTCGGTAACCATAGAAGCTAACACCAGCAAAGGTGGTTTCATGCCTGCTGTTTGGAAGTGGTCCTCAAGGATCACAATATGGATTTAATTTTCTTTTTGACTTTAAATGGTACAGATCAAATGACAAGGTTATTATTACAAGAGGTAAACTCTGAATTCTCTGAAGAATCTGCTTATTCAGAAAAAGCCATACCGTAAAGCCTGCAGGGCCGAGGGAGTACAGAATGTTCCCCTGCCACAGACGGCCCAGGCAGGCACCCCAGTTCCATGTGTCTCATGACCCAAAGTGTCCAGGCCTCAGTCCACCTCAGGGACAGCTGGCCCTGGTCTGCTGACAGACTGGAACATCGGTGCCATCAATACCAACTACCAGAGCTTTCAGTGTTCCAGGTGAAACCGTATCAGCTCTGCCGGGGTCCTGAGTCGGGGTCCCGCCTCAACAAAGGATCACCTCGACGGAGCGTGGGGTTTTAACGTGAGTGGGAGATCTAGTAGGTGAAAGAAAAGAGACAGAGAAGACAGAGACACAAGATTGATGCAAGCTGACAGGCAGGCTAGCATACAGAGCTAGCTGAGCCCCAGTCTTTTATTGTCAGAAGAAGGAAATTGACACAAAGGACAGTAATGACAAAAATGTGATTATTCATTTAAAACAGGACACGCGATTACTCAAGTGATACAGAACATGATGATTCACAGATTTATCCTGAACATATTTTTGCGTACATCATGATTTACCTAATAACCTAAGATTCTTATTTCTGTAAAAAAGTTTAAGCAAGCAATTATAGATTATATATTAACTTCTAGGTCTGTGTAACCTAAGGCAGCAACTTGCGGTTTCTCAAAGGTGTTTAACATTTTTTCAACACTTAATCACAAGTGGATGAAGGTGAGAGGCTTTAGAGTTTTTACTAAAGACTAAGTTATACTTTCTAAAGAAGTTTAAGTTGCCTCTGTATTTTTTGCAGGCAGAAAATACATGCTTTTGTTAGTGAACAAGATTTCAGATACCTGGCTTCAATTGTTAAACTAATGATTCTTTCCTCCTTGCTTCTACAATTATAGGGAAGGTGAAAAACAGGTTTTGACTTTTCTAATAAGGTGCGGTCTCACTTTTACATTCTTTTAACCCTGTTCTGCTTTCTATATCTAGATATGACAATGTTCATTGCTATTATATTCCCAATATACCTTCGGGAGGAAGAGGAGCACCTAGATTAAGTTGATTATACCCGGAGGCAGTTTGGGGGTGCCTAGAATTATCACATACATCAAGATTCCCATGAAAAACATTAAGATCACAACAGACGTACACAGGGGTGTCTTCATGGGGTAGCCACTAGTTTCAGTGGTGTTATTGTACATAGACATTAACAGCTCATGTATCTGTTTAATATTAAACATAACTGAGTAATTGGTTAGAAAACAATTGTTACATGTTCTCTGCCTTGCTACATCCTGTTTTTCTGTACTTTTATTTTTCATAGCCTCGTGCACAGCTCTTGTTACTGGGGCAGTGACATTTACATGAGAGCCATTGATCACAATGTTGTGCGTATTATTACTGAAAACAGTCACTTTCCCAGAAGCTACAATTACCGGAGTTAAGAGCATAAAGGACAAGTACAGAATGCACCAAAGTACAATTAAAGAAAATTGCACAGAGGTGGCCAAACAGTGAGTTCGCTAAAGCCTATGAACCCGGGCCTTTAGGGAGTTACTTCCTTGGCCCTCGGGGTCCACGGCCCGTAAGCCTGAGGAGGGCTCAGACTGGATTTTCGTCCATGTTATCCTTGTGCCTCAACTTCTCAGCACTGGTTCCGTATGCTGCGGTTGCCAGCACAGCCCGGCTTCTCCTAGGGGCACGGTCTTCCGGAATGCCGGGGCTGCCTCACACGTTGCTCTGACATCTTGCCAGCCCTATGAACTCAGGGCTTCGTCTCTTTTTCACCCTATGCTTAACTTCTGTCTCCACCTCAGGTCATTGCAATGACTGTCCAGTGCTCTAGAGCCCTCATCTTCTCTGAAGGCCCAGACAGATGGTCATGAGACAGAACTATGGGGAGGGATGTATCAAGGTCACATGACTGCAACCCTTCTCACAACCAGCTTTCCTGAAAAGACCCTGAGCTCTGAGTCACCCTAAGTACAAACAGTTCGAAGGGCTGCAGGGTTCGTCTAAAGCAGCTGAGTGTCATGCTGAGTGAGCACATGCTCCGTGTCCCCTTCCTTCCCTGTGGTTCCTGCCCAGCCTTCTCCCACTGTGCCCTCCATGGTCTCTGCCTGCCCACTCCGCCCTTGCACCTATGCTGTCGGCCAAGCCCCTCGCTCCACAGAGGCCCACAGTGGCCATGGGCAGGCTGACAGGAGCAGGAGAAAGAGCGGTGGCCTGTGGGACGGGAAGAAATCTGGCTCTCCCTACCCTCACTTACCCCAGACAGCACACTCTCACTCTGTTCCAACAGCTTTTCTGCTTAGCACCACATTTTGAAATTTGCAGGTGTTTTTAACTGCACACTCAACTCACCAGCTAGGCAAACAGGCACAATTCCCATTTGACAAAAAGGAAACTAAGGCCAGAAAAGGCCACTGACCTGTCCAAAATCATAAGTGGTTGGATGGCGAAGCTGGGCAGGAGCCCAGGTCTCACCATGTCAGACCAGTGCTGCGGCCCCCTACCCCGAGGTGACAGGATGCTCATGTGGAGACCAAAAAACACCAAGACATTTAGAGGCCCATTGGCACCAGTGGGGGTGGTTATGAAGATACAACCACAACACACCCAAAGAAAGGCAGTTTCCCAACAACAGTCTCTGTGCTCGGACCTCTCCCACATTCCCATAAAAGCTTCAGGGAGACTTATACCAGCACTTATGCCACACAGACTAGTCAATTCAGTTACTCAGTAACTAATACCTAGTTAGCCAACTTGGGGCTCCCATGTCTCCTGAGCATTCTCTATGGTGAGGCTGTGCTGGGCCTTACCTCCCAGGTAAGGGCTGCACCCCTGCTTCCTAGGTGCCAAAAGAACCCCCTCCCTGGGCCTCCATACTGACTGACCCCTGGAGAAATGCTCCCCCAGCTCCTAAGTCCGCCTGGCTTTTGTCCCACCTCTTAGGCCCTCCTTACACATCACCCTCTGCGAGGGCTCCGTCCCTCTGCAGAAGGGACACGCCCAAGCCTACATCAATCACATCACTGTGCACCAGATACAGTGTTCACATGCTGGCTCGGAACTCACATGTCCTAGCAGGCCTGTCCTGGAGGCTACGTTGCAGTCAGCACACTCATGCCAGCCTCCACTGGGACGTGACTGGCTGGCTGTCCAGGGAGACCACCACCCATGTCCTGTTGTGAAGGGGGTCTTCAGGCCATCAGTCAGTCCAGAAGTCTCACAGAGGCCAAGTTGCCTCCACCCTGACAAGACTGTGAGCCTGGATTTTGACAAGAGGTGGAGGGGGTTGCTAAGGACCGAGGAAGCTCAGGATGGAGCAGCGCCCGGCTCACCATAAATGCTGGACAGCCCTGTCCCCCAACTCTCCCAGAAGGTCACTCTGTCCCTCTGTCCCTCACAGAAACAGAGTTGGGACATCCAGTGGAAAGGCCCCGAGGCCAGTGCACCGTGGAGGCCATGGTTACAAGCACAGGGGAAGTCAGGGCGGACAACACAGCCAGAGCCCCAGGGCCCGAAGCACAGACAGTCCTGCTAGAGACCCCTGTGTTGGTGGCAGCAACCACCCAGGGAAGTCGCCCACCTGTCCAAGGGAATGACAGGGGAAGAGGAACGAGAGGCTGCGAGGGGGTAGGAAGGAGGGACTAGAGTGATGGAGGGCAACATGACGAGGAAGGTCATCTTTGGGGTGCCCACGCCCACTGGCACCATCAGATGGGGACAGTGGCTGCCTGCTGTCCTGGGGACAAGAATTCCGGGAAAAGCCAGGCCCAGGAAATCCGCTCAGACTGACTCTTCTCTGCACCGCTTGCATCATCTCTTACTCTGCTAGACAGAGGTTGCCACCAAAACCCCACACACGCCCCATTCCACCAGAAAAGAGTCTGTGGGGACAGAGCCACCATCCTTCCCAACACCCAGCCCTTAACCTCCGGTGCCCAGCAAAGCAAGTTCTGGGGTTACTGCCAGATCCATGGGCCATGCCCCCACACAAGGGATCTGTGGGGCAGGTGGCAGGGCTGGGCAGGGAACGAAGGCACTTGGGTTTAACAGAGAATGGGGTATAGGCCAGGGAGGAGCAGCTCAAGGCCTGTCCACGTCTCCCTGTGTACCCCACGTCACCCCCTCTCCTCATACAGGCATTCCTGCATGGGGTGGGGGTGGGGGGGAGGAGTAATAAGAACTGCCCTGAACTATCCCCTGGACAGGAGGCCTTGAGGGCTGGTATGTCCTCAAACTTGCCTACTGCTTCCCTCCCAGGAAACATGGGTGAAGCAAAGCCGCCCCTTCCCCTCGGCCACACCCAGTGGAGACCCTGTGCTTCCTGGACGGTGTATCACCTCCTTCCTGAACTCAGCCACGTCTGCCCTCTCACTTGCTCCTAGAGTCTGTTCACACATGGCAGCATTCCCTAACTACCCACAGAAAGTGGACGCTGGGCTGGGCCCGGGACATGTCCAGGGGTGGCCTAGGACGGAGGCATTTGTCCAGCTCATGAGGGGCACGGAGCTCGTCCCTGAAGGTCTGAGCGTGTGCTCACTGCTCCTAGGTACAGTGCTAATACACATCGTCCATCTCATTCACCCGCAGTTCGGCATATGGAAGGGTGTAGGCCCCTCTGTCCTCAGAGGTGTTCACACTGTCACCATTTCATAGTGAATGCAATCGTGGGGCAGAGAAGTGAGGCATCTTCTCAGCTCATACAGCCAGAAACATCATCAGTCCCCAGTATCCAGAGCCTGCTACTGGACAGAGCGGCACCAGACCGTAAGAAGGCAGGGGCTGTGGCCAGCCCTGCCCAGAAGGCATTCACAGAGTGGGGGCACAGAGAACTGGAGTGGGGAAGAGTGGCTCCTCTCTCCTGGGAAACAGGTCAGTTAGCAGCTGCTGATGTTGAATTTGTAAACATAAGGTCCTAAGTGTTTGAGCAGAACCCGGTACCAACGCCAAGTGCACACACCCCCAAAGGCCTATCTCCACGTGAGAACACCTGCAAACTACAGGCAAAGGTCAAAAGGGTCAGGATCACTGGGATGGCAGCACCTTCTCACAAGCTGGTTTCTGCAAAGGGTCACACATGTGTTCCCGTACTCAGTTACCGAGTGTCCTCCTGGCTCAGGGACTGGAAATGGAAGCCACAAACCTGCAAAGCCAGGATGGGTCAGTATGGTCAAGGTAAGCATGGAGGCATAGTGGCCTGTCAGGGAGAACATGGTGGGACGCGAGGTCCTAGACAGGCAGACTCTCCCCAGTAGGGCAACCCCCCCAAGGCCAGGCCCTGTCTCCTCTGTCAGCCCTTGTGGACCCCAGATCCCCAGTTGGCGCCTTCTCCCAGGCCAACAGAATTAAAAAGGCCCACCCCCCTCAGGTGCTCAGAGGTCCTGGGTGGATCAGGAAGTGACACTTCACTCAACAACCCTTCTTCCCAGAGTGCTTCCACACCTCTGTCCAGGTCCACCAGTCTGCCCACCTTCCTGTCCACTCATCCACCTCTGCATCATTCCCACCTCAGTCAGCCCTAGACCAGTGTCCAGGCCCACTCCCATGTTCGCTTCTTCCAATCCTCCTTCCCTCTCCCTGGCCCACCATCTCCAGACCTCAGTTGCCCAAACACTCTAGTCCTCGGAGAGGAAGCCAAGGTGGGGAGCAAAGGGAAAGGGCATCCCATCACCCCAAAGAAAAACCACACTGTAGTGGGGAAAGCTCAGGAATGAGCCAGCTGGACCGGGGGCTGGCTTCACTGCTGGCTTCTCTGGGTCTCAGTCTCCTCATCTGCAAATGGAAAAAAGCATTCTTTCTCCTACGTATAGAATTGCTCAATCAAGCAGAAAAAGACAAGAGTGGAAGAGGACACAGGAAATGCTCACAATGTAAACTACTTTTAGGTCACTGTTGCCGATCCCTCTAGCCCCCAAGGGCAGAAAGTGAACCTCAGGGCCTTCCTGGTGTGAGGAGGCCCATTTCCTGGGGGATGTCCAGATTCACCCAGCCCTGTTCTAAGGCACCTGACTGGCCAGGCCTGGGAACCCACATCGTCTTGTCTAAACAGGAAGAACGACCCGGACTGCTAAGAACCTTATGAACAGCTGTCTTATTTATTTTATAGACACTTTTCCTCTCCCCACTGCTGCATCCAAACGAGAGTGTTTCCCCTCTGGCAATGAGATCACACCCGGCCTCAAAGCAGGTGTGGACTCAAGTCTCCTGCTCCCTCCATTTCTACACCCACCGAGGCCAGATTCCTCCCAGACCACTTCCCTTCCTTCTGCAGGGGGCAGCCCCTCATCCACAGGGGGTCAGACCCTGAATGTGCATTTTCTAACTTTCTTAGCGCTTCCGGTCTTCCCAACTAGGAGTGGTAAGGAACATGCCATCGTTTCATTGAGGGACCCAACCTTACCAAGTCTAGCTTAGCGCTTTGTGTACTGAACTGAATTGGAGCTTGCTCAGAGCATCTCCCCCAAGATGTCACCAGGACCTCAGTCAGCTGTTTACAGAGGAGTCAGTCCAGCTCTGCCATCGTCCCTGCATGTACCCTCACTTCTCCTTCCTCACGACTACTGACAGAAAGCTAGCTCTTGAGCAGCCTCTGAACAACTGCATACACCACCAACTCCAACATCCCTCCTCCGACAAGAAGTGCACGGACGCTGCCTTCCCCACCCAGCCACAGCCCTCGGGCTGAATACCCTCACCAAAGGGTGAGAGGTGCCGGACGGGATGGGCCAGTTGTAGGGTGGGTTTGAGAGGTATGGAAACACAAGTTGGGGTATGAGGTTCTGGTATGGGGATGGAAGGTCAGGGGTTGTGGGGATGTACAAGACAGGGCTGTGGGTAATTGAAACAAAATGGTTGAAGGGGAGGAGTGGACAGGATGGAGAGGAGAGGTTCAGGAAGAGGAAGGAATTTAGGAAAGTTTGGAGTGAGGGAACCAGAGGACCCCAACCCTAATAGCACCCCCGCCCCACCTCGGCTGAGGGGAACCAGCGCGAGGCGCGGAGCCGGGAATTGACCCTACAGCAAGCGCGTGCCGCGCCACTCAGCGGTCTGAAACCCGGAGGTCGGGCGCGCAGACCAGGGACACCTGGAAATAAATACCTGGGCCCTGGAGCCAAGGTCGACAGGAACTGCCGCGGGCGGTCGGCTCTGCAGCCCGGCCTGTCCCGGGGCAGTCGGGGCGAGTGGGCACTGCTGATTGGCTGACAGGCCTGGCCATCACTGGGGCTTTCCAGCTACCTGATTGGCTACACTGCTCATATGACCAGCTCGACCCTATTGGAGAAGCCCGTGGGGCGGCCTCTTTGTTCTACGGCGCCAATCGTAGACAGGTTGAACCCGCCCCCTCGGGACGGGCCGGTATTAACCCGTTCAGCGCTAGGCAGAAACCATTAGTTATTTAAGTGTCTTCTAGTCGATTCCTGTGCAAAGTCGTTTGAATTGCAAGGTCGGTGGTTCAAGCTCACCAGCGGCTCCTTGGAAACCCTATACAGGGTCGCTATGGGTCGGAATCGACTCGACGGCATTTAACAACGACAGTTTCCAAGGAGCAGCTGGTGGATTTGAACCGCTGACCTTGTGGTCCACAGTCCAGTGTTTATCCTACAACGCCACACCATGAGGAGGGCCTCCCACTTAAAATGCTACCTTCGCCCGCTGTCACAGGACCTTCTCATCTGCCCTCCCAGGCTAGAAGGAAATCCCTCCCAAAACGGCTCCGGATGGGTCGGCTGGGTCAGCTCCCACTGAGTTCTCTGTAGCGCTGCTTGGAAGCTGCCTTTGGGACTTGAGGTTGATAAACGCTGGGTCAGGGCCGTTCTCCGAGACTTCCTGAAAACCTTCCAGGCTGACCACCTGTTAGTACTTGCAGTAGATACAGTTGCACAACAGGGATTGGGGGACCAAGGTTCTGGTCTGTTTGCTGTCTCTGGACTTTGACTTACTCGTCTGCAAAGCAGTTAATAATTCTCTAGTTACCTACACCGGAGTCCTGGCGTGGCGCTGTAGGATAAACCCTGGACCGAAAGGTCGGTTTGACTTGCAAGCTTGGCGGTTCGCACTCACCAGTCGCTGAGTTGGAACCGACTCGACAGCACTTAACAAGAAGTTACATACATACCCTGTAGGATATTTTCAGGATCTGAATGTGTTATTGTCTATAGAGGCACCCAACCCCATGCAGATTTCAGAAAGCAATGGAACTCTCAAAGTCTTTATTAAAATAGATTTAACCTTGAATCTATTTTCAAGATTATCCTATTCATTAAATAGGAATTAATTCCACAAACCTTTTCAGAAAAGAGGCTCAACAAAGGTTTGAGGAACTAACTCCTCCTTATGTGGTGCTGTCAGGTTAGTATTAGCGCAAGGTCTCTGGTTCGAACGCACCAGCTGCTCCTCCTCAGAAACCCTATGCATAGGAATCACACGAGGCCACTATTCTGCTGGCAGGTCTACCTCTGGCTACAAGTGTGACCTTGTGTCCCTTTTCCTAAGGGCTTGTTTCCTCCCTCCAGATCCACACTTCACAACCAAAGGCATTGCAGGAGCAGAACCAACGAAGCATATCTAGGATCCTATTTCCTTTTTTTTTTTTTTTTTTTTTAAAGGAGGTTGCATATATGTATCTGTGGAAATGCTCAGGAAAAATGTCCAGAATCTCCTTCACTTTACACCATAGCCTATGAGAAAAGGGCGTGGGGGCTGAGGTGGGAGGAACTTGCAATTGTCTCAATTTTCAGTCCCTGGGTGGAGGATAAAGCACAGGTATCTTGGGGTCCACTTCCCGCCAGGCTTTTTTTTTTTTTTTTTTTT